TTCATCTCTGCCCATGTTGGGAAAGGACAGCCAGCAAGATGCATCTTTACCCTCCACTGGTCCTGGTGCACAACTTTCCTCAGGTTTATTCTTTTCTCATTCATTAACTATTTTTTCCCCCCTCTCTTTAACTTCAGTGCACAAAAAACATCAGCCTGAAAATTCAGCTGTTGTGACGTATCTCTAACAGAACCAGAGACCTTTTTTCTCCCCCAACCTCAGCAGCAGCATCACTAAGGGTGTGTTCCCTCCTTGCTGTAACGCTGCTGAAGGATGTGCTGGAGATGGGGTGTGATGGGAGGGTGCAGATACCTGATTGAACAGACCTCTCCGAGGCTCTGCTGCAGGTAGAGAGACATGAATAATTCACAGCACGAAAAGTAAAGGTGAAGCAGCAAAAGCATCTCGGGTGCACCACAGAGGATGTAGGTGTATGATCATAAACATCTTATTAAAAGCAGAATTAGAGAGGGAGAGGAAGGAGGAAAGGAAAAAGGGATTCCCTCCAGAAGCAGCAGTGGGGAAGATAGAATAAAAACTTGTTTTGCAGAGGTGTTTAGAGGTCAAAGCTCTGTTAATCTCTAAAGAAGTTTAAAATTTTGATTCTAAACGTTTCCAGGAATTGGATTTGCTTCAAATGCACCCACCTAAACACTCAGGGGTTTATTACCCCACCAGCACATCTGCCAGTCAGTTCTGTCTCTCCTCACCACGTTATTGCTTTTGTTTTGAGAGATTAGGCTAAAACTGGTGTCTGACTGCTCCACAGCTCCTCTTGCTTCTGGCTCGAGCCCAGTGTGGGATTTCAGTGCTGGTACATCAGCCAGGTCCACGCCCTGCTCCCAAAGGTGGGGGTGCCACCTTCAGCCCATCATCACTGCTCCTGCTCCTGCCTGCACACCCAATTCCACCCTCTCATTCCTGTCCCTTTTCCACGTTGCCCAGTTCTGCTGTGCCCAGCCAAACACTCTGTCCCTCCTCCCTCCTCTTGTGTACATCACTTGTATGCACATAAAGATAAAACAATTGTTGTTCCAAAGTGATGCCCTCCCCCAGTGCAGCCTCTTGAGCTAGACAACCCATTGGCCCAACGTCCTGCTGGCCTCTTCACCAAAAGTCATCTAGCCATCAAAAGGCTTTGGGCAGCCAGACCCCTATTCACCACAAACAAGAACATCTGGGGTGTTTGCATTTTCAAGTCTGCCAATGAGAAGGTTCTGAGATATCTTTGATATGATTAGAAACCACAATTTTGGTTCTCAGCGAGCTGCAGAGCAGCATAACCCTCACACAGATGTCCATCTTCCTGTCCCTGCCTTTTGGGAATAGTTTCAGTATTTCCTCTGTCTCACTGGCTTCTGACAGGAACCAAATCAAGACAATTATTGGCAGCTTTAAAGAGGACTGTGCAGGTCTTCAGGCACAGGAAGTGTACAGACAATAAAAATAGATGTTTACCAAAAGCAAACCAAAACAAACAAACTTTAAGCTGAAGTACGTCCAGAGAGATGTGTGTGAACTTCCCTTCAGCTCTAAGGTGTCTGTGCCATAAAATTTTCAGCAGTTTCCAGACAGAGCTGGAATACACAACAGCATCAGTTCAGTCAGAGGATTTTATTAAAGACAAGTATGGCAGCAGGCAGAGCTGCTCCAAAGGGAGCCCCCAGCTCCACTCAGGGATTTGCTGAGCCCAGTGACCACAAAGTATTTTATGAGACTTTTACCTTAGCCACGGGTGGAGCCTGTGAGCCTGAGGCACCCACTGAAGAAACCTCTCAGCTGCACAAGGGAGAGCATCGACAGCAGAACACGTGCACATGACCAGGCAAAGCACAAGCACACTCATTTCCAACCCTCCAACACCTCCACAGCCACGCTCACCTCATCTCTAAGGGTGAGAGACCAACTACACCTGAGGGGATACCCAGTGATTCCTGAGAAACACCAGGCTTTCCACAGAAGGGACCTCTGGAGATCACCTCATCCCACCCCTGCTCCAGCAGCTCACCCCCAGCAGGGTGCCCAGGGGCACAGCCAGGAGGGTTTGGGATCTCTCCAGAGCAGGAGACTCCACAGC